TGCAACTGCTGCCGCTGATCGCATACCCCCATGACAAACTGTTAAACGAGTCCATGCTGCGTGATGAACACTAGTATCATTGCCTGTTACGATGACACTGAGGCCTCTCCTGCTCTCAAACAGCCACATTCAAAAGCCGTGACGGTGGACACCTGCTCCTTGAAATCTTAAGCGATGACCAACCTCAACACGAGCTTTCGTCGTCGTCAGCGTATTCATTATCGCAGCAATGTAGTGTTGTGGAACCCGTGTCCTTGATGGGTTCCAGGGTGCACTGCAGGGGTTAACTTTGCGCAAACGTTTTGCGGGGTTTAAGCTCAGGGTCTGGGCCACACGGTCCTGCATGACCCGCATGTCCAGCTGGCATTGCTCGGCGCTGCCATGCCAGGTGTCCTAGCGTAAACTGAAACACAACGTCTGTCAGCTCGTAGTAATCAGGGTATACCATAGGGTTACAGAGGGTGCTGAGGATTGAGGACTCTCTAAACCCTAAACACTTACCGGCCTCCAAGCCCTTGATGCGCTGGACTTCTTTGGCAAGTTCACCTCGGCTCTTGAGCTCTGATCTGGCACTACAGTCTTGGGCTCTTACTTTACTTCGGGGGGGTTCAGGGTTTAGGGATTAGGGGTTCTACACGAGTATGCATGGTGACGTAGTTTCGACGAACCCGCTTGCATGCAATCAGCTGTCTGACAGACTGCAGCTCATGGCCAAGCGAGACTTTCCCAACTTTTGCGAAGAATCGAAAGCTCGATATCTTTTGGCATTACCATAAACAACCGAAGATGCTAAGCCTTTCGACATGGGCTTTGGGTTTAGTTTAGGTTTTAGGGCTGCGTTGATTGCCTGGTCTTGGCACCTGCAGCACGCCGAGCTCGCTCACGGTCATGCTGCAAACGCTGGAGCGCCACCTTCGGGATTCAGGGTTGATAGGCAGTACTCCACGAAGAAGAGTTCTCAAGATCCTGGACCCTTTTTAAACAGTTCACCACTTAACTCCCGGGATTGGACAGCTGTAGGGTACTGGGCAGAAAACAAACAGCTGTACGTTTTCCTCACGATCCTGCAAAGTATCAATCAGTGTTGCATGTTTGTTGACACGTCGTCCTTGACAGCTAGTGAGTCGGCATGGCGGCATGCACAGATTCTTTGCCAACATTTACCTGTATCGTATGTTTATCCGTGTGTGTGCTTATTCCATCGCTATCTCTCTCTCTCTCTCTGTCTGTCTCTCTCTGCGTCCATTTCGACCGACACGAGACATGATGCCTCAACTTGTGGAAGTATAGGACAGAGTATTTCCGGAAGGGATGGCCTCCACAGCTTTTCAGGCGGAGTTAGAAGCCGGCAGCGGAGGCAAGGGTGAGCGCAGAGGCTCAAGAGGAAACTTCAGGGCCTTTAAACTTTGCTTTGTTAGGGTGCTGGGTCTCTGAAGTGCTGCTGTGGGTTGCCTTTCTGCCCGGAGCTGTTACTTTGTACAAGTGTGATAGGCCCCAAAGCTCCAAACTCTCAAGCAAGACAAGCTGCGCTTATCATGCTAAACCACACCACCCAAAAACCTCTTTAAGGCAACACCCCAGCCGCTCCTCAGCATCCACCTCCGCGCACATCAAAGCTCCAAGAATTAGAGATGGGAGGCAGGCCTGCCTCAAACTCTGTGTATCCCCCGAAACAACCCCTCACCATTCAAGGCCTCGTACTCCCGCGTTTGTAGGCAGACATGCTCATGAAGACGGGCCTTGACGAAGCATGGCTGCTGACTTCGGCAATCGGGCAGCTCGGTCAAACTTGTTCGTGACCAAAATTTCAACGGCGGATGACTAAGTAACAACAGCGACGAAAACAAAGAACACAACATCCACCACTACCACCACCACCACCAACAACAACGGCAACAGCAATGATGATGCTGATGACACAACAACACAAACAATGACAGCCACAAGCAACCACGCCGCCACTGGCAGCAGCAGCAGCAGCAGCAGCAGCAGCAGCAGCAGCAGCAGCAGCTGCAGCAGCAGCAGCAGCACCAGCA